TTTTCTTTTTCTTTCCCCTGGAGATGTATCGAGTTTTGGTTTTGGCTTTTTTATGTCAAGTCGGGAATGAAGGAAGGCGCATGGAGCAGACTGCGGAGTGACTGTTAATCCTGCTAAACCTGTCCTAGGGTCTAGGGAGTGTTTCCTAAGTAAGTCTTATTGCAGCTCGGGAGCTATTTGCTGAGATGGACCTTTACACACGTGCCACGCGTTTGCCTTCGGTGTAGTTGACTTGGTACATTGAACCTGTGTGTTAGAAGGAGTGCAGCACGGATGTTTAGAAAAACGAGTTAAAATTGGGACAGGAAGACTAATTTTTATAACGTTCCATGAGGGTAAAGTCTGAAACCAATCACTTGTTAGTATTCTTTCAGGCTTCTGGATATAGATTTTGTTTTTTCTTTTGCTTACTGCGTCGCTTGCCTTTTGCGTAATGCCAAATGTCAGATGATTGCACACGCTTTGTCAACAGTTTTGTCATGTGAAACTGCTGGCTGGGAGTAGTGAGAAGGGAAGGAGTTTAGAGAGCTTTTATGTAGTATTTTGAACATAATTTACATCTGAAGATCTTGTGTGTACCTGTTCTTTCTGGAGGCTTTATGGTTAGTAGTGATGTTGATTTTCAATTTTGGTTTTGAGCCTTAGATATTTTTCTGAACAGTTGCTGGATTTACATGTTTGGGAGGATTTTTTTAAACTCTTGACTTATCAGAAATATATAAAAAGTAAAAAGAGGGAACGTATAGATTAGGCTGAAATAATGGACTAGTGGGAAAGGGAGGATTAATCTAACTTTTAATAGGATATTTTCTACAGTTGAAAGGATTAGAAGTTATTTTTTAGCACAATCAGGTTGAAGTTGGTGGGTACTCATGACAAACTTTTTGTCATCAACTTCCATACCCTCTGCTTTTTAGCTTGAGCAAAATGGCTTTGTTGAATATACAGACCCCGGCTGTAAATATTTATTATTCCAATTTTGAGTTGATTGGTTTTAACAGAATTGCTGAACAGTCTCTAGTAGCTTGAATGAGGTATTTGCTGTAAAAAGTTTGGTTATTATTCTAGCCAGTAGCTAAAAGCTGTTGTGTCAAATAGTGCTAATGCTTTATAGGAAGTTTTTTTATATCTGCTGTAACTCTTGAAGATGTGTGGGTGCTCTCAGAGAGCAGATCTGTTATCAGCAGCAGTTGTCACATAATCCCTTTCATGAGCTGATTGGTTTTTTGTTAAGATCTCACAATTAATGAGTTGCCTAATTTAAAATGGGACTTTTTCTTCAAATACTTGAAAATAATAAAACAGTGGTAGATTCAGCTATTTTAAAAAAAAATTATGTTGTGTGTGCACTCCTTCCTGAATGAAGGACCTGGTGAGCAGTATTGATCCGATTAGAACGGGTGAGAACGCTCATTTGGAATGAAGCAATTACCTCTAACTTCTTGGGGAACTTCATTTAGTGACAGGCTGTGAGTTAGGCAACACTTAATCAAGAGTGTTATTCAGATTTTTTTTGTATGTTTTAATTTGAAGTATTTTTGGTACAAGATACATCACAAAAAATTTGGAATTTAACGTGACCTGAGGTCTTGATTTTTCAAATGTAGTGTTACAGCATTTAAATAAAAGGTGAAGTTCAGGTGTTTAGGTTAATATTCTGTCATTCAAGTCACTGTAACCTCTGTATCATTAAAGTGTTCTTTCAGCAAGGAACTCTTATATGCTTGGATATGCAGCCTACTTGATTAAAAGTAATTAATCCTTCTAATTTTTTTCTTAGTTTGGATGTACTTCCGCGAGTGACTTGCCCAAATCATCCAGATTCCATTTTAGTAGAGGATTACAGAGCTGGTGATATGATTTGTTCTGAGTGTGGGCTAGTAGTAGGTAAGTATAGCTATTCATATTTTTATGAATTACCATATAACTTAAAGTGTGTGTGTAGATTTGTTTTCCCACAAAACTGGTATATGACACTTTAAGTATTAAAAGGCTTTTTCTGGCTTCCTAAAAGTTTTCTGTTATGATATTCTGTTGGCTAAAAGCTTGCTATTTTGAATAGTCTGTCTTCTGGTAACTTCTTGCATTATGAAAAGAAACTCTTTAAAGATTGAAAACCTAAACTATGTTGTAATATTGAATTAGAATATTGTGCTGTCTAGTCCAGTATTCTGTCTTTAATCATGACTGTTGTTTCAGTCAGGAAAGTATAAGAAACGTAATAAAAGCTCTTTCTCAAATAACTTGCTTACAAAAAAAAAAAAAAAATCTCATTTCCCACTAGTTAGTGGTTATCTTCTGCCCTGAAGGATTTCTCTTTATATCCTTGCCAGCACCTGTTTTTGTTAATTTTTCCTCCTAAGGCTTTTAATACTATCCAAAGTAAATATCCAGTTTTTCCTCTGGAATTTTGCTGAGCTTTTTTAATTGGTTCATGTGGCAGCAAATTCCACAGGCTAAACTGTATTTCTAAGTATAATGGAATATTTAAAGTGAAAGGCCTTTTAGGCATTGTCTTTGTTTGAATGAGAGAGGCTCATGTTGCCATAGAACATGCCATATATTCATTTTTCTGTGTCTTCTCTAGCATCAGTATCTTACTGTCCATCTTACTGTCTTTATTCCTTTTGCATGGGAACTTTTCATGCTCGTGTTATGATCATTCTTAAAACCTCATTTATTTCTATAAATTTTTTTTAGGTGTGCTATGACCTAAAGAAAATCCTCTTGTTTTGAGGGTGCATGTTCAGGCGATTCATTCAGTGGTGCTAAGTATTTCAGGTGGTTTTATATCCCTCTCTCCTAGACTGTGCTGATTTTGTTCTGGCTCTTGTCTTGCACCGAATTAAAAATTTTCATAGAGCTACTGGCATAAAGCTAAAGGTTTAATAAGTTGCAGCAAAAGTAGTACTAATTTAGCCAGGTGACTAAAACGTGTGTCTTTTGTTTATGCAAAAAACAAGCTTCCACATAGCTTATTGAAATAAATGTTAAAATATTTAAGCTTGAGTATCAGTTTCCTTTAAAATTATGAAACCATTTAAAAGGCTGGGGGGGGGCTGGTACTTGCTTTGTTAAAAGAAAGTCTGGTTTAATTTGCATAATTTCTGATAGATGAATCAAATTTGCTGGTTAAAAATTCAAATGTCCACAGCAATGTTTCCTGTTGAAATATGGTAATAGGCATCTAAGTTACCGCTTAAAAATAGTTTGGTCCACGTTCGGCTCTTTTAAAATAATTCTGGCTTTAGAAGAAGAGGGAAGGGTTTTGTTTTATATGTTTCATTTTTAGGAACCTCTCAGTTTATCAGAAATCTCACTTCATGTACCTTCTGTTACCTAGTCACAAGGTATTCTTGCTTTAGAGATTTGCTCTCTGGTCTCTTCTGAATCAATAGCGTCGGAGATTTCTTTAGTTCAGGTTGGCAGCATTTTTGATGAGCAGAATCATTAGACTATTAATACAAACTTTTGCTGAGTTGAATTTTTAAAATGTGTTTAAGATGGTCTTAGTCCTCTACAGCCAATGCTACTGGTAGGGTAAAAAGTGTCTTTTCTTTAAGTGTGCAGTGTGTTTTAAGTAGGCCTTTCTATGGATTTATCACTAAAAGGCTTTAACATTTACTTTTGTTGTGCTGATTGTTTTCATTCTGTCTTGTCTTCCTTCAGCAAATTAGTTTACCTGCACATGTCCAATTTATTAGCTAGGGTATCTAGCAGCTAGTTTGGAAAACCAATTAAATCAGATGAAGCTAAATAATTGAAGAGTGCATGACCAAACCAAAGTGTGAATATTCAACATTTTCTCTTCTGGTCTGGTAAGAAATTCAGAGGAGGAAAAAAACATCCAATTCTTGATGCCTTTTTTCTGGAGATGAATGTGAAATAGGGATGTTTTAAAGCAGTGAAGACAAAATTTTGTTTCCGAATGAGAAAATGTTTATGTATTTGTTGCAGATTCCATGACACATGTTCCCATTAAGAGAGTAGTGATTTCATTTCCTGTTCTAACGTAGAAAAGCCATGGATTTGTGTTTCGAGGATTACATATGTCATGATGCATAGCTGATGTGAACAGGGCCCACTGAAAATATGTTTTGAGGTGGGCCAGAAGTTAGTGAGATCTTTATCACTGAAGGGAATAAATTAGAACAGTTAAAAAACCTGAAAGACTCAACGTACTCTGTAGCCAAAGAAGCATTACGGTTTTACTTAAAAATACTGTGATTTTGGTGTCTGCAGATCACTGCTGGTGTATGTGGGGCAGAATGCTAAATGCCAAATTTGTGCATTTATTTTACTGTTCTAAAGTACATAGTGATGTGACTTCGCTGATTTTTGTTTTTTTAATTTTTTTTTTTTTTTAGGCACAGTCTGGCTGAAATGAGAGCAAAGAGTCTTTGACTAAACTAAGTGTATTTCCACCTGATGTTTTTCTTGCTTTCACATTTGTGGAAAAAGTGCGAGTTTGTTAAATGTAAAACTGGATAGGATAAAATAGCTGGTGCATAGATAATTTCCAGGTTTTGTAATCAATCTTCTGGGAATATGAGATGAAATCAATATTATTAGTGTTAGGACTGTAGTTGCATTTATTGGATCTGTAGCTGAAAGAGTGAAGCAATGGAAAAGTTTGGGGGAGCAGGAGGCTAGGAGAAGGGAGGAGCTGATCTCTTGTAACAGGTGAATTCCATGTCTTCGGCAGAGCTGTATGTTGGAAGTACTGCTATTTAAAGGGATTTTTGAGAAAGATTTTTAATCAAAGTTGTTTTGTACTCGTAGGTGGTGTTCTTAGTGTCTCAATAAGGTTGAAATTTAAAGTTAAATCCAGTATGCTGCTTTTTCTTTGCATGTCGTTTTTCAGTTGTTATATTTAGAAACTGCTGTTTTGCTGTGCAGTATTAAAAGAATTGAAGCTTGTAATGTCAGTATGACTGAAGCTGGTGGCTGTTTTATTATTGCTTCAAAATAGAACTTCAGGAAAAATTCTCACCTGCCTTTTCACTGTTACCTTTCCTGGGTTAGCTTGTGTTCCATCTTTTCATGGTAACTGACAATTTTTCCTCCTACTAATAGCCTTTTGCATGAAAGGCAGTCGGAGACCCAAATTGCAATTTTCCATGAAATGTTGGTATTAATCTGGATTGACATGCATCTGAAACTTTACAAGTCTATGTCCAAGTTTATGTGCTGTCCTAAGTCTTGTGTTATATTATACGTACTTTTCTCAAATCATTCTGGCTATGGTAAGTGTTTGTGTGCTGGCTTGAGAATTCATGAACAGGGCTCTTAGGGTTTGAAAAAGTAGTTAGTTCTGTGTTCATTTAAAACTTTGACCATATCTCATTCTTTAGACGGACTTGGTGGGGGGAGAAGCATTTTGTTCAAGAACACAAGGCTAGTAAATCCTCTTTCTTGACAGGTAAATATTTTGCTTACTGCCTTTTAGGCAGTAAAAAAGGCTGGAAGTCAGCTGATACACCAGAAGGGGCTGAAGAAAGCAGAATCGAAGTGGAATACAGAGCACTGAATTTTCTTGATGTAGCAAGGTGGTGAGCTGAATTTCAGAGGGCGCTAAGAATGAGTCTAGTGGCATGTACAGCTGTGTAGCAGCTCAGATAGGTAGGAATACCTTTCCAGTCTAAGACTTTCCTTAAACTTCTGTATGGTTTTATTAAATGTTGTGTACTAGTGTGCAGGTGTTGGAGCAGCGAGGAGTTTATTTTTAGCATTTGGTAAGTGATTTTCTCTAACTGGTTAGCTCTGTCTGCCGTGTGTCAACTTGTTAAAGTTTTGAATCAGTTTATGACCTATATTTAGATGTTTATTCCATGTTCTGTGTATACCCGAGTGTTCAGTTAAAGAATTTTGGGGAAGAATGTTCAATAGCTTGTGGTCAGCAGTAAGGCTGTTACAAAATTCTGTCAGAATATTTGGTTGGCTAATGCTTCTGAAATATTTGATATCTAAATGGCGCACCTTGAATTCAGGTGTAGTCTGTGAAGAATAGGTAAGATTTAACTGTACTGCAGGTATTTTTCTTCTCCAGAGTATAACAAACAATTAGGAAGGGGTTTCATGATTGCCTCTCTGCTGGCCAGTCTGTTACTCAGGATGTCTGTCATTAGGGATAAGATTGATTGCGTCTATACATAGACGCTTGTTTTCTAAAAACCAAAGAACCGTTGTTTTTTTTTTTCAGCTGTTGCTAGTATCCTGTAAGTTGAGAAGATGCTTAAGTACTTCTGACTTGGATCCGGTAGAGGGCAATTACGTCTATTTTAGTATCTCCATATGGTGAAAAGTCTTTTCATATCTGGGTGTATGTTCATGGTTACTTCTTTCTGTGAGTACTATCAACATTTAAAACTAAAGTGTGAAATCTCAATTTAAAGTTTTACTTAAATAAATAGGCAAATATCTTTAGATATGGATGTGTATTAGCACCTTATATCTGGTTACTGCTTCCGCGCTTGGTGTCCAGAGCACTAAAAAGTGTCTGACAATAGCCCTTGCAAATAAAACTTGCTGCATCCACGGGAAAGCTAATTATAAAGGATGCTGATACTTAAAGGAATTCTGAATAGTTGACTTTCACATGAGCATTCATGGATGCTTGATTTACATAGGGAATTTGTCATACGAAGAAAGCCATTTACGAGCCCTTTTCAGCGTGTCAAATAGCCTGTGTTTTTAAGTGTAACCTGTTTCAGCTTTAAAGACTAGTGTGATGGTTTTAGCTGTTTCAGCAATAACGCTTGTAAAAGTGGAAACTTTGACTTTAGATCACAAAAGCTGGCATCTTTTGTCAGGCTTTGTAATAAGCACCGCTCTTAGTATGCTATTCCTTGGAGATTTTCTAGTTAGTGGGTTCTAGGCTGGGAACTAAAGGTGTTTGAGAGCCACCATGAAGAATGCCTCTATTAGTTAAAGTACTAGATTTACCTAGTGGAATAACAGTAACATGTTGAATCATCCTATCCAGGGAATGCTGGATTTTTTATTTTTTTTTTTTTTTTACACTTCCTTATCAGATTGCCAAAGTGATTTAAGGCAAGTGAGGGCTAGAAATGATGTGAACTCCTCTGATGGAAGAAGAATCCAAAGCCTCTTATTTTTGTGATACAGTGTAGATCAGGCACAACATTTTTCCATTGAGATGCCGTAGTTTGGGGCATCCTTCACAAGTACTTGAGCTATTGTCTTTTAAAGGCCACAAGTCCTGGAGAGGTGTACCTTCAACTGACCAGACTTGTCCACCAACTGTTTGATGTTTCTACTCTCATTTGCTTCCTCCAAAATTATTACAAGTTGATGGCTGGAAGTCCTTTTAAACTTGTCATCATTTTGATATGCAGGAGCTGCTAAGTCTTTGTTCTTGTAACAGGCATTTGCCTGAAGTGCTATACCATCCATTTCAATCCATAGTTGCCTGTAGGTACTGGTATGATGCTGTCGATGTCTGGAAACAAGTCAAAGTACTCTGTGGTGTTGGTCGTTGGTTTTTTGGTTTTGGTTTGGGTGTGTGTTTTTGTTTTTTTTTTTTTTTTTTTCCCCTAACATCTCAAAGCCTGCTCTAGTTCTGTTTGTTTTTTCAGCTGAATCTTGAGAATGGGCTGGTGTTGCTGTTGGTGATGATGCATTTGTGGTGTTTATGGTTTACTGAAAACAAAATGACTTTTTGCAAAGAATGTTGCTATCTTACAGAAGGCTGGGAATTTTGTAGAAAAAGCTATGACTGTAAAATTGTGGAGGTTTTTCTTCCCCGGGAGTTTATGTTTTGGTAAGATTTAATACATCTGTGCTTAAATAGAAGTTCTAAAGCCGAAAACTGGGAGAAAAAAAAAAAAAAAGTTGAGTTTATATTTTGAAAGCTATAAAGTTGAGTAGTGCTGTATGTGACCGTGTGTAAACTAAGAAATAGAATGTGGAGGAGTAGATACCTGGAGTATTGCGTCTAACTCTGGGCTCCTCAGTACAAAAAAGGTGGAGACAAGTCCAGCAGAAGGCTGCAGAGGTGATTTAGGGACTGGAGCATCCTTCCGTACGAGGAGAGGCTGAGAGCTGAGACAGCCTGGAAAAGAGAAGGCTCGGTTCAGCCTGGCTCCGTGCGGTTACGCGTCTTCACGGTTCTCCTCAGCTTGTAGCCTGCTGCCTAGGTTTTTCACTGTAGTTTGTCTCAGCACCTCATTACTCTGGTTAATAAGGAGTTGACTGAAATTAATGGTAGTTCTATATATTTTTTAAAATCTGGCATTATAAAATGCTTTTAATTAAAAGTAGAATATATGTGCTCACTAGATGGCAGCAGATTCCTTAACTAACTAACATCCTGTAGAAACAATAGGTGTTTTGGTACTTTAAAGTGCAAATAAACTTTAATACTATATTTATATTAATATTAAAATATTAGTTAATAATATGTAGAATTTGATGCAATGTACAGCTAGCATTAGAGCTCCTCTGGAAAAGACTTCAGAACATACCTTCTCAGAACTGTTTCAAGATTGGATATGAAAGGTAACATTACTTTCATCCTATTTCTTGCTTTGATTAAACATCTTCAATTTGCAGCTATGTTGTCTTCATATAACATATAATACAAAATGCAAAAAGGGAATAAAGTAACGTGTATTATGAATTATTGTGAGCAGAGTGCAACATTTAAATAGCTGATACTATATAAACAAGTAATTGCAAATTCAGGGCTTGTTGAGTTAAAATATTTTCCTTTGAGAAATAACTTTCTAGTTGAAGGGGGGGGTAAGCATACATAATTTGTGATGCGTAGACATTTTCAGTTGATTTTAAAAAACTGTTCAAAATTATGTTTCAACTTTTGATTCTGACCTGAGTTTACTCTTGCATTTCTGTAGCGCATGCTCTTTACATTTGGCAGTTGCGAAGAAAAGTAACCTTGGTCTGAGGTTTTCCGTTCTGAATAACAGTTCTGCATTTTACTAAATGAGCTTTTCAGATGGTGGGTAACCTGAGTCAGTGAAGTTTGCAGTGTGTATTTCCACTAGAGCCTCTGTGCTAATCTGTTAGACTGTATTTTAAAAGGTAACTGGATACTGGAGGAATAGTTTACAAAATTAAATGGGGCAACGGAGAAAAACTCAAAGATGTTTCAGAGTATCAGTCTGGAGTTGGGTTCCACAAAGATTTGGCCCTGTAAACTGCATTTTTTTTCTATGTACTTCAGAGGAGGAAGCTGAGGAGATGAACTCATCTGTTTGAAGAAAATTAAAGGAGTGTCTAATGTAACCATATCTAGTGAAGCTTATTTTTGTTCAAAAGGTCTGCTTCAAAAGGAATTAGTGAAGGGAATATGCAGCCACTCCCATACTTATCACCGCTCGATATGGTTGCCAAAACCGATATAATAATGATGTGAGAAAGCAGAGTCAATTTTATAAGGTTCTTACTGGGAGCTTTTGTTACTCTGATGTTTCACTGTCAGACCCATTTCCCAGGTGCTTCAGGAAAGCCAATCAGGACTGTATGGCCAGGACTGTATGACCAGGAAATTCAGTTTAGGACTTGAAATGTTAACTGGGGACCAGTCTTCAAGGCTGATTCCTTACAGTGCTTTTTGTAAGACTGACTATAGAATTTAAGGTTTTGTTTTGATCGCTTAGGGTGGGGCTTAACTGCATCTGTACTAACATCACTGTTCCAAAGTGCTTTTTGTGTTTTGAAGAGTTAAAAATAATAAATGCCCTTTTTCCCCCCCCCCCCTTGGTGTAGAATGGGATAATTAGCTGTTGTAGCTGAGTATATTTTCCATTTATGGAAGCCTTTTGGCCTATTCGTTCCATTTTTGTTAATGTGTCTAGCTTGTGTCACGTCTATAAAAGTCTTTTGAGAGGTGGAGTGCACTTCTTGGGACCTCTGTATATTTTAAATAAGACACAGAGTATACAGAAAAACTTTTTTTCTGCAATAGCAGATTACTTGGCAAAGTAAAGGTATTTGCATACTGCATCTTAATTACCCAAATGCTGTATATTCAGTGATTTGTTCTAGTTAATCTTTTCTCACTCTGAAATAGTAGTCTCAGTCCTCTGTTTGTAATATGTTTGCCAAAGCAGGCAGTGATATAAC